GAGGCACAGAACAAGCAAGGCAGCCACACACTGGTCCGATGATCAAAGAGCGAGAGACAAGAAAGGCAAGGCTCGCCGAGCCATTTATCCCTCAGCCCTTCAATTAATCCCACATGTGTTTATAGGCTAGGCTGGCACAATAAACTAACTACCTCAAGTGCCTTCAAAAAATAAGTCCAATCAAAATACTGGTTTCTGGGGAGATCTGCGTGGCCAGTTAAATTCAAGACAGTTCAGCTCAGAAATTATGGCTATGTTTATTTTGGGGGGTGGGATTTCAAAGGGACAATCTTGATAAATATTCTCAAAGGACACAGGATAATCATTCCCTGGGGTTGATTAAGAAGTTTTGAGAAAATGAAAAACTGTATTGATGAGAAAAAGGCCATGACAGTTACTTGGAAGAATTGGTTTTCATCATGCAATATACCTACTTATTTTTCAAGGGTAGTAAGGGCTGTCCTGTGAGAATTCTATCCAGAAACCTTACCTCACTCCCCTACTGCCCTGGTCTTACCCCTTCAGACTTCTTTATATTTCCCCCAATCCAAGAATATTGAGAAGGCGCTTGCCTTGAGTCCCCAGAGGGTGTCAGAGCAGCCTGTTCAATGGTTTAAAGGGAAGAGCGCAGGATTCCTCGGGAAGCATTCGAGAGATGGAGACACTGTTGTCAGAAGTGTAGAGACGCTGATGCACAAGATATGCTTAAACTATAGCTACACATGTTGGTATTTTTGTTTAATAAATGGTTCTATGGCTTGGTAGCGATCCTTTTTTACTTCCCCTTCATCCATATCTATACATATAGTTATAGACAGTTGTCACTGCACAAATTGTACATGTTAAATGAGCGACATTATTGCATTCAGCATGTTGGAAAGTTGCCCAGTGTGTGTTGTGCTGGAGAGTGTATGTAAATGTTTAGCAACCAGCTCTTGGTTCAGGATGAAAAAGAAGCCCTGATCTATCGCATTTGCTGATTCCCCTGACGTAAACATTCCCATTACGGCCAATTGCGAGCTACTAAGAGAAGTAATTGAACACAGTGTTGGAAAGAGCTGTGCACCGTCTGTCTCTGCAGCGGGTCCGAGCAGGCTCCAGCACACCACCACTGTCTGTGCCAGCGGTGCACTTCTAAAATACCCCCCTTCTCAACATGTAAATACACTTTTAAACAATTTATCCATACATGTCCATTAGGAGTTGGCACTTTTCATCGAAAAGGATTTTAACTTCGATGCCCGAGCTTCTCCCGAACTGCTGCGCTTGCGAGGAGTGGACAGATGGAAACCCCCGACCTCTAGAACAGTACAGAACAGGGTCTGTCCCTTACGGTACTCTGGCTGAAGTGGAGGGAAGGAGCGACATTTGCTGACGTCTTTCATGAGCTCCGCTCACTCTTTGCTGTTTCATGGCTGCGTGACGCTGTTCTCCTTGTGCCTCTCTCCCTGCAGAGAAAGCTGCCGGCGGACCCCAAGGCTCTGGAAGCCTCGGATCTGGTGTACACAGTCAGCGCCCAGGAGTACTGGCAGCAGGCGCTCCTCACTGAGGAGGAAACTGGTACCTTCTGTTTTTCATCGCCGCCACCGAACATGCTCAAGATAAGCTTGCATCACAGATTTCCTTCTCTGAAATCTTTTTGAGCCACATGCCCAGCTTGCCAGTTTCTACACCTGTGAGGAGGTCGTTTTTACTTCCTCTTCCGTGTGGTGGTGCCCAAGACCCACATTTCTCCATCTCTCTCTCTGGGGTGGTTAGGGTTTGCCTTGAGATTCCTCACCCACCCAGCTAGGGGTATTGGAATTGTTTCCTGAACAGCTATTGTACACGTCTTCTGTAATGGGGAAATGTAGACGACACGAATGACCGTTTATTCCTTGAACATAAAATCTGGAGGAGGAACGACACCTGCCCCTAATGGAGTACCATTTGGTGAAGTGCCAAAGACTAGGTTGTTATGCAAGAAAACAAAAGAAGGCGAAAACCCCGGCATTATGCACAAATGGAGGATGATAACATCGGATGACAAACTGGAGGATGATTACATCCTTATATAACAACTGCCAAACCGCTGAGAAACATGACCTAGAGAAGTTGATACAGAACCTCAGCCATCTCAGCCAGTGGTAGTCTTCTCTCACACCTCCGTGTCGGTGATTACTAGACATGTTACAGGTTACACGAACATGCAAAATATTTCGATAGATGATTATTCTAAATATGTGATATTCGATAATAAGATAGTCAACAAGTGAGGAGTAGGTATAAAGATAACTGATGCACAGGCACAAAGTAAAAACAAGGCTTAGTCTAAATGATGCTGACTATGAGAGAAAAAGCCAAGCTCACAGCCACGGAGGTCGATTCAAATGCATAGTGCCCTCGGTAGGACAAGGTGGAACTGCCCCTGTGGGTTTCTAGGACTAATTCGTTAGAAGGTCAGAACAACCTAGAGTGCTGACTGAGTCCCTCTCCGTGAAAAGTGGGTGACTACGCAGGGTTTGAGCTTTGACTTTGGACCGAGCTTAAAAATGCACGCGGCGTTTTACGGGATGTGTTTGCATGCGAGAACCAATTGCTTTGCCCTCGGACAGTGCAAAGGGTTCACATGCTAGACTGCTAACTTCGTGGCTAGAGATTTGAATCTACCCGGAAAGAACCTTGAAAGAAAGGCTCGCTGAACTACTTCTAAAAAAATCACTCACTGAGCAGAGTGCATCTCCTAGGCTACACGTGGGCGTCGCCGTGAGTGTGCATCAATACGACAGCAAGTGATCACGTGTGCGAGAGCAGGCTCAACAGCAGAAGAGCTCCAATGTCGCCAAACAAAAGGATCAAAGAAAAAAGGGTGGGGTGGAGATAAAGTATGGTGATGTCAGTTGTCTTCTCCTGAACAACAGAGAATTAGAGTTAAGGCCGATCTCTAATTTTGAATCTCACGTGTTCCTTTCTGCAGCAAGCATGGGCTATTTTGATGTTCAGGGTTACAGGACCCAGAGGGATACACGCAGGACAATGAGGTAGATATATAGTAATCTAAAGATTAGTGCCAGGCTGTTGTTTTAACCATTCTGCACTTTTCCACTTCAGTCGTTGTATCTAAATAAAGTTCACATTCCACACTGCTAACTTATCATCCATTGTTGTTGAGCCTAGACATAGAAAAAAATGTCCTTCAGAAAGGTTAATTTAGGGGGTGCCAAGTCCAGGTAGGATTCCACGATAGTGGATCCAGACTGTCATCCTGGTCTTTCCACTCTTATGGATTCTATTTCCTACCAACTTGTGACCTTTTAAACATGTGTGTGCTGTTTGTGAATTCCAGAAATCCCCAAGTTAAGAGAATATATCAGGAAACAGCTCTTAGACAAGAAGAGGAGGATGGTGACCAGGTATGTGACTGAAGCCTTCGGCCTGCTGGTCCTCACAGACAGTTTCAACTCCACGGACAAACCGCCGGTAGGTAGACACCGCATGATACATTCTCTCCCTCCCAGCCCGGACGGACTATTCCCTTTCACCATGTTACATATTAGCAGGGTTTACTTTTTCTTTCCATAGCAAAGGAAGATACTAAGCCCAGGGAGTCTGTCTTCAGACTCTGAACAAGACAACATAGTTATCTGGAAAGCTGAAAATGGTGACATTGGCATGAAAGAGAACAAAGTGATGTTGTGTCTGAGACAGAGAGGCTGCGAGGAAAACACAGGGCTAGTCTGACTCTTTTCCGTGTCCCGAGAAAGGATAGCAGGAGGGATTTTACTTTTTCCTCGGGAACCCAGGCCATTCCTGCTCCTCCTGGGGAGGCATGGTTAGATGTTCTACCCAAAGAGGTTTCATTTGCTGGGCATCCTTCATGCCCTGGCGCTGCCAGACGCTCAGACTCAGCCACAGAAGTCAAATAATGGAAGCAGAAGGAAGCAATGAAGGGATTTCGGCAATGAGTCTAGAAATTTATCTTCACTGTCTAGAATCCAGGCCTTCTGAATGACCAGTTAGAATTTTCTTGGGAACATTTTTTATCTCTTGGATGGAGGGCTCTCTTTTGTTTGGATGTTTGCCTTAAAATAAGATTGGCACCCTGCTCCAGATCCTTGGTGAGGCTTTGAAGCGTGTTCGAGAAAAGCTGGTTGCTGTTATCAACCACCAACCGCGGCAATTTCCCTCTCACTTTGTTTTTCCCCTCCGATCTGCACAATCAAGTTGGCAGACGTCTCGTTGTGCCGGGACAAGGGGACTGTAGAGGAAAGCAGGTTAACAGAGTTCTTTGAGATGTCGAGGATGTCCATCAGCCTGTGGGAAGGAGAACCTGGGCCAACCCTGCAGGTGATAAGGGGAGGCAAATAATGGCGACCTGCCTGATTTGCGGTCAACAGCAAGCAGTGCCAAGTGTAGATGGTCAAAGTGGCCAGATGTATGAAATTCCCCTGAAAAGAGACTTTTAAAAAAAATGAAATTTCACTCTCTCTTTTCATCATGTTTCTTATGCCTCGCTTGGGCTTGGTTCTGGGATGAAAAAAAAGAAATTCCTGGAATCAGATATTTTCTCATTAGGCTTGGTCCTCTGAAATGCTGGAGAAGGGGTTGACCTTCTAACTTCCTGGAAAAGTTCCTTTAGGATGAAACTTGCCTCTCTGCCCAGCAAAAGATTGCTTTTGGAAGTGCTGATGGAAAACCAGTCCCGACGTGGTACTGTGTGTGCTTGGTTTATTTACAAACACAAGGACAAACCATTTGGAAATCACACACGGATGGGCCTGTCCCACATTCTATGCTCTGCGGACTTGAAGGGGGGAGCCTGGGGCCAGGGCTCAGTCCTCGCCTCTCAGCAGCCTCCAGGTGACGGAAAACAGTGGAGAAGGCTGATTGGCACTTCATTGATAGCTATTTAGAGAGCGTTGCCAGCAGTTTCCCTCAACATTCCTTGGCCCAAGATTTTGGTCTTAGTGTTAGCTCTTTGGCGGAAAGTTGGAAGGCAAAAATTCCTTGTCAGTTCCTGTGCATTCTTAAAAAAAAAAAATTAAACCTAAAAATGTGTGTGATTGATCATTTTTTTTAAAGCTTGGGACTCAAACCCAAAGTGGGGCATTTGCATAGTGGGTGAGGATGGTCGCTATGAGGAAAGAGAATGAGATGAGAGGAAGGGGAATGTGACACCTCAAGCTGACTAAGTGCTCTTCCAGCACAGCTAGGTGCCAGCCTTTCCTGGTCTCACTGTTCTCTTATCCCTTTGCCCTCTGCCGGTGGGTGACCCCACTGGGTTTATTGACGGTGGTGGATCGTGTGAGGCTTTTGCCGGTAGGTCTTGTTTTCATGCGTTCTTTATTTCACTTTGGCCACAAGTGACACCACAATTTCAATAGAACTCAAAGAGCATTCAGAGCGGGGAAAGAAATGTATGGTTTTTATAACCCTGAGTGGTTAAAAACGATGAAAGTTCTTAAACGATATAAATGCCAAAGCTCATAAACTAAGAATCACAGAGTTTTAGACTCAGACGTTTTCAAGATCACTTAGCTCCGTGTACTTACTTTAAAGATGATGCAATTGAGGTCCAGCGAAGTTACATCATCTCTGTAAGGTCACACATGTATTCCAGGAATATTTCTGTCGTAAAATTTGGAACAGAATTAAAAAGCCAACGTGATCTGGCAGTTTCTCGGTCTCACTCAGGCCCTCCGCAAATGCTTATTGATTACACTCTCTGTGCCATGCCCTGGAATAATAAACACGGATGACAAACGGTTTGTTCCTCCCCCAAGTCCCCAGGCTTGTGGAGGAGCCACATGCAATTGGATAGACATAACAGCAGGATGAATGTTGCAACACAGGAATGTACCCACGGCGGTAGGCGCCCGACCCTGTCTGGAGGATTCAAGGAAAGCATTGCATGAGAAGTGATTTTTGAACCTTGTCTGGACAAGGCGACAAGGAGAAGGGGGAGACACATGGTACTAAGACATAGGGTCACAAAAGAGATGTTCTCTTTGAGGAAGGCCAACGATTGGGGGGGAGCTCCCTGGGAGGATGCGTCAAGCCAACGGGGAGAGAATGCTGCTGGAGAAGTTGATTTCAGAGGTCCAGGCTGGTGCAGAAGGAGCCCTGGTGTTGCAGTGCTGAAGCTCTGCAGTGCTGAAGCTCTTGGCTGCTAACTGAACGGTCCGTGGTTAGAGCCTCCCAGCCACCCCAGGGGAGAGATGTTTCTATCGCCCCCTTCATGATTACAACCTTGGAAACGTATGGGGTTGTTCTATACTCTGTCGTGTAAGATCCTGTGAATGTTTCTGTTGTCGTGCTTTGGAATTGGATGGTGAGAGCAGGTTAACACACGCAGCAGCTAACTGAGAGATTGGGTGTTCGAGTCCACACAGGTGCTTTGGAATCTATTCATCTACTTCTGACAAAGCAGCCAGTGAAAACTCGATGAAGCATAGCGTTACTCTGACACCCCGAGAGGCCCTAGAATTCTGATTCTCGATAGCCACTAGAATCAACACGTGAGGCAATCTAAGTGCCACGTTCAGGAGTTTGGTTCATAGCTGCTGCAGACACTATGGAATCAGCCAACGGTGTCACAGAAGGGAACCTGAGTATGGGTCCCCAGGTTGGAATCTAGAGGTCCAAGCTGCTGGACGGGGCACTCCCTTCTATTATTTGAATACATGCTTTTCTCTGGCTTGACAGCCTTCTTCAATGTCAAGGGCCATGTGCTCCTTACATCTTGTGGTCTTGTGGCTTTGCTAGTCAAACTATACACATCACCTGGAGACTTGTTAGGAATGTAGGCCCTCAGGTCTTCAGATTTCAACAAGATCGTCAGGTGATTCTTCATTTTAAGTCTGCAAAACACTGTCCTCAAAATTTCCCTTGGGCAAAGCTCACTTAATGTTTGTTGAACCAGAGATCAGTTGGGGGGGGGGATATCACAATTTTAAAGGAAATTGGATTTTTATTTGGGCAGACTCTTCCCCAAATGGCCCAATGAATTGGTTATATGACTACACTTGGAGACATGCTGTTTGTTACATTCCCCCCAATCCCACAAAATCTAAGGAGGTTTGTGCACTCAGGGGTGCAGAGTGTGTGGCAATAAGGAGCAGTCAATCTGGGGTGCTTTGGTGATAAGCTGAAGGGAAGTAAAATTTGAGGAGAAGGTGACTTTGGGGAGGGGTGGCCTGATGCTCTTTCTGATCCTGGCCCCTAGAATGAATATTTGCACATGAGTGGCCTCCGGGGATTTGTGGAAGAGAAGATACAGCTGCTGGAGAAGAGCATCAGCCAATGCTTTGCCCACATAGAGCGGCCTCTGTGGGAAGGGGTCAGAAATGCCAGGACTTCCTATCGACAGACCCTCAGCAGATGTCTGGTGGTGAGTGACCGGTCCAGGGAAACCCTGTGGTATTTGTTGATGGCTGCCTGGTCGCCAAGCCCTCAGTTCATATCCCGTTCCTTCTGAAAGCAATAAAGCCCTGAAAGAGGAATGTGGTTGCTGTTAAGCAGCCTCAAGTTAATTCCGATCCATGGCGCATTTATGCACAAGAGGAGGAAGTACCGCCTGGTCTTGCGTGCTCCTCGAAATCGTTCATATCCTGGAGCCATTGTCGCAGCTGCGGTGTTAATTCATCTCTTGGAGGGTCTTCTTTTTCGTTGCCCCTCCGCTTTACCAAGCGTGATGATGTCCTTCTTCAGGGCCGGTTCTCTCTTGACAGCATGTCCAAAGTATGTCAGTTGAAGTCTCACCATCCTTGCCTCTAAGGAGCACGCTGGCCTTACTTCTTCCAAGACAGTCCATAGTCCTTTCAATGTTCCAACAGAAGTGCAAGAGAGTGAAAGTCACATGTAGAAAAGCACATGGAGGGACTGGCTCAGCTGTCTATTACAGGCGCCAAGGGGAGGGTGTGGCTCAGCAAAAAGCGAATGGGCATGTGGGATCTGAGGGCCGCAGTGTGAGTCCCGCTTCTCCCAAACATCTGCTGTGTCGCTCAGCACACTTAAGCTGTGTGGCTTAAACCCATTTAAGCCTGTTCTAGTTGGTTGGTTTTCTTTTAGAAATGAGGATGTTTGATAAGAGTTGTATGAGCCCCCAATAAAATGATTAAAAAAAAAAAAAGAAATGAGGATGTTCAAGATTTGCCCTAGCCATCTTGTAGCATTGGTGTTAAAATGTTGAACAGATTACATGCTGTGGAAGCATTTTTGTATCTGCTCACTTACCATATAAATTGTTGGCTTTCTATTAGTTATATGGCAGGATCCTCGGTGGTATAGTGGTTACGAGTTGGGCTGTGATCCAAAAATTCAGTAGTTGGAAACCACGAGCCACTCCCCAGGAGAAAGTTGGAGGGCTTTTACTCCGGCAGAGACTCACAGACTCAGACACTCACCTGGGCGGTTCTGCCTTGGCCCATGTAGGTAAGGTGACCAGATTTCAACAGTGGTAAAGCGGGACAAAAGCAGGACACCATTGATAAAACTCCTAGCCTGGCAAAATAGCCACATGGCAGCCAAAAACCGAATATCCCAGCTTGTCATGCATTCTTTCCCCAAATCGGGACTTTTTAAAAGCACCGCGGGACACAGGAAAAATTGCTAAAAATTGAGACTGTCCTGCCCAAAGTGGAAAGTCTGGTCACCTTACATATAGGGTCACTGTAAGTCGGCTCCGGCTCAGTGGCAGGGAGTTATAAGGAGCTTCTGATGGATGGAAATGAAGTCTGGGTAATTTTGTTTCAGACAAAGCATGAGAAATAGAGAGACCCATGAAGAGTCAGATGTCAAAGATGACACTGGTACTGAGGCCAGGGGACGCAGAGGTGTCTAGGTCCGGGAGCGGTACATACAGAGAGACTATGCTGTTAGCCGTTTTTTATAGGAGTTGGAACATTAGCCATGAAAGATGAATGAAAAGATTAAGTGCATAAGCTTTTATAGATATTTTTATATATACACGATGATACTATCTCCAACATCTTAGTTGTTCATCTAACAGCTTAAGTTCTTGTGGTGCCATCCCAGAAACACCACAGGCAATCAATTTCCTCACAGTTTCGGAGGCTCGAGGTCTGAAGTATGGGTCCCAGCTCTTGAGGAAGGTTCTTTCTGGGGGAGTCCCTCGTCTCAGCTTTTTTGGCATTGTTCTCGGTGCTCCTTAGAGGCATCTGTCTCACTCCATGTCCTTCCTTCTGTACCTAATCCCGTCTTCTTATCTCTCAAAAGTGATTGTTTTAAAACATGCCCCACACAGAGCGGGTGTTGGTAACATAACCAGGACAATCCTGTTCCCAAATGGGATTACATCCATAGGCGTAACTCAGCCATCGGGTCATGCCGACTCAGGGCGACTGCGTTGGACAGTGTAGACCAGCTCCAGGGAGTTCCCAAGAATGGAACTATTATAGGAGGAGAAAGCCTGGTCTTTCTCCCTCGGTCTGGCTGGTGGTTCCAACTGCCAAGCTTGGACATTGCAGCCCAACTGGTAATGGCTGTGCCACCAGGGCTCCATCCACAGGTGTTGGGGTTAGGATTTGCAGCATGTATTTTTGGGGGACACATTTCGGTCCCAAGCAGACCTTTTCTGGATGTTATCATTTTTGTGGAAAAGTTGGTGCAAATACTTAGATTAGTTGGTGAGATTGGGATGAAAGAGAAGATGCTTCTAGTATAAAACAGATGGCCAAGAGTAAATCAATTGCAATAATTCTGGAGTCACTAGAGCGAGAGCTGGTGTTTAAACCCAAGGAATTGGAGTTAGAGAGCCATTCTATGAAGTTAATTGGTTGGGATTAAGGCATAAAGATCCATTTTTTTCCTAGGTGGTTCTAGTGCTCATGTAGGCAAGTAAGTACAAATGATTTCATTTATTCAGCAAATGTTGATATTAATAAACACTAATTCTGGTGCCAGATACAGTGCCAAGCTTTTTCATGTGCATTAATGCACTTAATTCTCATAATTCTAAGTGGTAATCAAGCTTATTATTATTTTTAATTGCAGAAAGGCTAACTAACTTCTCATAACCACACACACAATCACACCTAGCCCAGGCCTTCTAGTTTCAGAGCCTTCCCCACTCTGTCACCTAAATTGTACTTTGCCAACTGGAGTCCCCGGGGAGCGTGAGTCCCTCGCTCTTGGCTGCTAACACAAAGGTTGGGGGATTTGAGTCCACTCAGAAATACGTTGGAACAAAGACCTCTCAGTCAACTTCTGAAAAGAATTCACTACTGGAAACCCTTTGGCGCAGTTCTCCTCTGACACCCATGGGAGCGCCATGAATCGGAATGAACTTGACGGCAAGTGGGTGGTGGTGGTAATTGCTAAGCAGCTGTATCATTTAACGTTTGTAAGTCCCAGAGCAAGCACATCTGTCTTAGAAGCACGGCCAGGAGCTCCTTAGAGCCAAGGATGGCGAGACTTGGTCTCATACTTTTGGGCATGCTGTCAGGGGTGACCATTCCCCGGAGGACATCGTGCTTGGTAAAGTAGAGGGGCAGCACAAAGAGGAAGATGGAGCGACACAGTGACTGCACCAATGGCTCAAACCTAAGAACAACTGTGAGGATGGTGCAGCACGGGTCACTGAGAAGTTGGAACTGACTTGATGGCACCTAACAACAGCAACAACAACAACAACAACAGCAATAAATCCCATCTCATTGCCACCCAGTGGATTCTGACTCATAGTGACCTTACAGGACAGAGTAGACCTGCCCCCTGTGAGTTTCCAAGACTGTAGATCTTTCTGGGAACCGAAAACCTTATCTTTCTTCCTCAGAGCAGCTGGTTGGTTTGAATTGTGAGTAGCAGCCTAACGAGTAACCCATTACACTACCAGGCTCCACACTAACTCCTTTGAGAGTAGTAATTTGGTGTATTCTTTGGGTAATAAGAAATAATGTATACAAAGTGATAAGAGACAGTGTGTCCCTGCTGAAGAGCGTGGGCTGTGGCTTGAAGTTTGCTTTCCCCCTTAACCAGTGGGTGCCCCTTTGTGCCTCAGGCCTGCGCCCAGGACAGTCGTTCTGGAGTCCTAGCGGAGCTGTGAAGGCTCACTGAGGTCACGTGTGCAGAGATGCCGTTCCATGCTGGACCAAGGCACTCAGCGCATAGGAAGTGCTTAATAAAACTCAAGCCTATTCGTATTAGGGTTGAGGGGACTTAGAAAGATGACCCCAAACAGTCCCTAATGGGAGAAGAAGTAGCAGGCAGAGAACGGTAATGATGGGTAGCATGCGGTGAGGACCATGAGAGAGCCAAACCCTGCTCCAAATGGCCAGACCACATTCTAGGTTACAATCTTTTGGCTGAAAATCACAGCGCCTCTAACACAAGCCAGGCAAGACCATAAAGAGGCTGAGCTCTAGAGGAAGCGTGGGCTCGGGAGATCTGCTTACTCCAGATTCTCTGCCTTCCTCTGCAATCTCTTTACTCGCCTCTGTGCAGGGCCCTCACTCGCAGGCTGCCCCCTTCGTGATGTGGCTGTGTCTGGATTCCCATCTGTGCACCATGAAGTCTAGAGCAGAGTTTCTCAGCCTTAGCACGATTGACATCTTGGATTGGACAATTACTTATGGTGAGGGCTGTCCTGTTCACTGTAGGATGTTTATCAGTGTCTCTGGTCTCTACACACTAGAGGTCTGTAGCTCATAATCACCCCAGCTGCAGTCCTGACAAACTTGTTCCTGGCTGGGAAACACTGATAAGAAGGAGGAGAGGGATGGTTATTTCTGGAAATGGTCTCATAAACTTGAAGAAACACACTGCAGATCTTTTTGGTTATTTTCTTTCTCTTTCTTCTTTTTTTGGGGGGTTCTATTTGGGTCATAAGGTTAGTTCTGACTCCATTTCTGAAACTAAGATAGTGTTTTTGCTTCTTCAAATAGTTTAGGTCTATTTTAGATCTCCAGTTTGTGGCCAGAGGTAGAGCTAGCTTTTTCCAAACAAAAGGGCAAGGTGTGGTCGAGCCATTCATGCCCAGAGAAAGGGGAAGGGTGTTGGGAAAGCAACACAGGGCATACAGTCTAAACTCACTGCCACTCAGTCGATGCCAACTCACAGTGACCCTATAGGACAGGGTAGAACTGCCCCTATGAGTTTCTGAGACTGTAGCTTTTTGATGGAGTAGAAAGCCCCACCTTTCTCCTGCAGAGCAGCTGGTGGTTTCAAATTGTTGACCTTTCAGTTAGTAGCTCAGCCACTGTGCCACCAGGCCTCCTATAGGACAATGAAATAAACCTTCTGGAGAGGGTGATTGGTAAGCCTGGCCCTGAATGAGCAGTAGTAAGTCTCCAGACAAAGGAATGAGGGCTGAGGGAAGGATGAGAAAGGACAGAACACATTTGGGAGCCAGCAGGTGGCATAGTCTAACTGGAGCTTAAAGCACACTCGGGAGTTCTGAGAGCGGTTGACAGATGGACTAGAGAAACACATCCAGTGACGCCCACATATGTGGGAGAGAGAGCTTTCTGTTAAGGAGCAATTACATATCAAGCAAACATCCCAGCTCAGTTCAGATCAAGTCCTTAAGTTCGATACTAGTCCACAAGTCCCTCTTCAGACTCACGCAGCCACACGCAATGATGCGGAATGCAGGAGGACATCAGGCTGGTGGGGGCAGAGTTGGGTCTGCACAGGGCTGGCACAGGTCTCCAAGTGGCTCATCAACAGGAAGGTGAAGGCAGAGAGAGAAGGGGGAGGTTCTCAGGACCCTCCGAATGAGAAGGTCACACCCCAAGGAGGCACCATCAGGCTATGACCTGATTGACAGGCTAGACTCCACCCCTACACTTTTATATCTTCAAGTTGACAAGAAGTTGTTTAACTACCGTAGAGGGGGACAAGGTCAACTTGGTGGGCAACTTAGAACTGACCTAAGAGTCTGAACAATGAATGGCTTCATCAGAGCTATGTCTAGGGAAGATTAATGAGCTCCTAATGTGGGACAAAGATTGGACGCAGAGGAGTTAGGGCTAGAACAAAGGTTGTGGCAGGTGGATTAGAAAGGACAAGGTGAGTAAGAGAGGAAATAGGAAGACACTCTCCATCAGAATTGACAATAGATCAGATATTTCAATGTGTGAGAACAAGGAGATACCGACTCCAGGAAGGATTTGCACTTAGAAGAAGCCTGTGTGGAGAGGAGATGGCCTCCCATCAGGAATTCATCAGCTGGCCAGCCAGGCAGTGAGCTAATGTGGAGGCAGATTCTCCTGCTTCGGCCAGATGACTGAAACTCCTGCGGAGCCCGAACTGGCCAGCCAAGCCACCCCCAATTTTCTGACCCACCGAGACTGCAATGTCATAAACAGTTAAGCCCCTTGGTTTGGGGCAATCTGCTTCATAGCAGAAGAGGGCTAAGTGACCTGGAGATGATGGTTTCTGTGTCATTGTAGAAGACGCTAGATATGGAGTTATTGGCTGGGTCTCCGTGCTGGGAAGGGGCAGCTATGAAGCAGAGACCACTCCTTGGAGATGCTTTCTTGTGAAAGAAGCAGGATCAGTCCTCTTCAGCCCTCCCTAGAACGTCACCCACGAACCATGCCCTCTCCCACCAGCCTTTGCATGGCTTCTCCCTCTGGGACTACAAACCCGCTCAACTTTCCTTTGCTGTCAGAGATTTGGACAAGCATGAATATGCTACTGTCCTATCATTCCTTAACCGCAAGGTTAGCCATTCTGAACCACCAGCCGTGCCACAGGGAGAAACAGGAAGCTTTCTACTGCCGCTAACTCACAGGGACAGTTCTACGCTGTCCTGTAAGGTCACTCTGAGTGGGAATGACTTGACAGCAGTGAGTATTTTGTTTTTGTTTTTTGAATAATAAGAGGCTGATTAAATTAAATCTGCCACTGTCGTATAAAAGTACATGATGTGTTTGCTAAAAACGATCTTTGAAAGCCTTTAAAATAAAGTGGGGAAAATGATCATGCTCTAGGATCAAGGCAAAATAGGACAGACACAACAAAGTCTTTTAGTTAAAACATGTTTCCTCCAAGCACAGAATCCCCAAACTGGAAACTCATTGCCAGGGACTCAACGCTGACGCAGCGCTGCCTGGAGGCCAGGGTAGAACTGCCCCAGTGAGGTTCCCAGACTGCACATCTTTGCAGGAGTAGAAAGTCTCATCTGTCTCTCATGAAGCTGCTGGTGGCTCCACACTGCTGGCCGTGAGATTTACAGTCCAATATGTAACCCAATCGATGGCCCTAGGATGCAAACAGGGCTCCTTTATTCCCTATAGCACCGATGAAGGAGCACACAGCTGCATACTAAAATTTTGGTCAGTAAAAATGCATTTTATTTTTTTTTAATTTTAGTATTTTATTTTTTTTGGAAAATGCATTTTCATCTGCCGTACGAAGCAACGCTATCCGACTCGAATGTTTAATGTCTTTTTAAAACACAGCTCTAGAAGAGTCTTGGTGGTTCAAGTGATTAGAGGAGTGCTCCCTGCTAACCAAGACGTTGGCAGCTTGGGCCCCTCAGTGGTCCCACGGCGAACAGACTGGCCCTTCTGCTTGGGTAAAGAGTACCACCCAGCAAGCCCAGGGGGGCAGTGCTACTCGGTCACCGGGGAGGCTCTGAGTGGAAATAGTGACTCAAAGCTCTGGCTTTTCTGCTGAGTTCGGAATTTCGTGACCTTGGGGGGCGGAATCTTACAAAGCTATAAAAATCAGATAGTATTTCATTTCATATTTTTAAAAAGTGTTTGAAATCTGGACTACCCTGGGAAAATCAAGACCTGCGCTCCAGGTGGGGTCATAGCATATTTTCATCTATCCATTCAATGAATGTACATGGAGCACTCCTTGTGGCCGTTGCCAAATGCTGAGGACGTACAATGGACGGTGCATTGCCCCTCAAGCTCAATGGGCCGAGGGTGGGGGTGGGGGACACCCTGGTGAGTCACCCGACACATACAGAATGAAGTGAGACAAGTGGGCGCAGAGGGTTTTGGAAGCCCAGACATGGACACCTAGCCAGCTTAGGGGAGTGACTGCTGTACTCTCTTGCCCAGCTTAAGAATGCGTTTAAATATCATACGATCTCTTCCCTTTCCTGTGATTCTGGGTACCAGCCTTTGGTCCAAAACACAATGTGATTCTGATCTTACGGCATTCAAGTTCGTGCCCACGACTTCCATGCATGTATTGTTTGCTTTTCTAGAGGAGTAGAGGAAACCAAGGGTTCCACCAGACTCTGAAAGCTGTTTGCCTGAAGAACGGCATCTATGCCTCCAGGACGCTCGGCAGAATAGATCTCAATGAAGCCATCACTCAGCCAATGTATGACCAGATTGACCCCGTGTTTGGAAGCATCTTTAGGTACAGGATCTTTCATCTTGCTCCTTTCTGAACAAATATTTGAAGAAGGTTGGGCCAGAGTCTCATCTTAAAGCACTTGCACTTTGGATCTGGAAGTGTAAAGAGTAGCTTGCCCAGGGAGGAGGAAAGCCTGATCTTTGGCAAAACACAGAAAAGCCTTCTGGGTTTGGTTTACTTAGAAATTTCCCAGGCTGACCTAGAGTACAGATCAAGTGTTGTTTTCAGACTAATATTATGCTTCCTATTATTTTTCAAGTATCTCCTACATGCAGCAAGGGATACATTTTCTAATGGATTTGAGCCCAGGACAGGGTATTTTGGTTGGAGCGAGTGGAGTTAAGCAAACATATGGCTTGCACAACGATCCCTGCATGGAAAAGGCTAAGTGACTCCATGAGGCCTTTGGGCATGTCTTTGACCCCGAATGCTCACCAAGATGGTGTGGGTCGTGTCTGTGGTGGTGGAGACATTCCTTCTTGGAGCCCCACCTTCCCTGACCTGCAATTCCTCTCTCTATAGACAGAAAGAAAACCCCCTCCTCCCCCAGTGCAGCAGCCCACCCCCAGGCTCCCTTTGCCCTCACCGCTGGCATCTCACATGACTGGCCACCTGCTGCTTCCTACTCATGTTTCTTCATTTGCTTCTGTCTTACTTGCTGCCCTGTGCCTCTCTCCCATCCTATTTTTAGCTTCATGAAACACCTTTCTGATCATACCAGCTCACCTATCCCCCTCCGTCCCCTGTTTATAAGTACAGAGGGTAAAACCAAAATCTCTCCGGATAGGATGCAAGACATTCCACCCACTTCTATCCCACCTTTTCCTATCTTTCACAGTTGCCCAGGACAAGCCCTCTGCTTTAGTCAGCCGGCTGTGTCGCCAAGAGCAACTGTGGTGTGCCAGTCACTCTGCATGCACTGTTGTATCCAGTCCTCCCAATAATCCTATACTGTGGCTTCTGTTTCTTTTGCATAATAAAACACTGAGGTTCGGGGGAATTGCACAACTTTTCTATTGCCACCTAGAATGTAAGTAGACATCTGAGGTTTAAAGCCTGTGGCCTGTCCTCTACAACTCTTTCTTCTTCCTCCTGGGAGATTCTGAAACTTCTTTCATGATGTTGTCTCCGTGGGGGAATAACTCTTCCCTTTCACAGCTGTACGTCTTGTCTTTCCAAGTATAGTTCCAAGTCCCATCCCTTCTATGGGAGCACCTAGACAGTGAAAAGCTTGTGAGTTTTGGGGTGAGACAGATCAGAGTTCAGAGCCTGCCTCTGTCCTAGCTGTGTGACTTTGGACACATCTGGGCTCCTGACTGAACCTCAGTTTCCTCCTCTGTAAAATAGGGTCATCACACTGACTTCATAGGCTTTTACATCAGGGGCCTAGAATAGTCACTCAATCTTTTGGCCGTTGAGTCAATGCTGACTTACAGCGATGCCATAGGACAGGGTAGAACCCAGCTGTTGGCAGGAGTAGAAAGCCTGCCTTTCTCCCACTGAGTGGCCAGTGGTTTTGAAATGCTGACCTTGTGGATCACAGTGTAACCATTATGCCACCAGGGCTCCAGTGTCCACATAATACGGGATTTGATCATTGTTAGATCACATCCCCCTACTTCTTGCCTAAAAATGGACAAGCATTTTTGCTGCCCTGTCACTTCCCAAGCCTGATGACCTTTCTCCAGGGTCTGGTCTCTCCTGACAACACGCTCAGAGTATGTGAGATAAAGTCTCGCCATCCTTAGCATGGGGAGAAGTGTTTCAAGAACTGTTTTTTGTAGTTTTATAGGATGCCACCTGGTTTCATGTTTGCTTTGGCCCGGCAGCAGCATTATCCTCTCTTAACATCTTACTTTAACTTCTTCTGTAGGGCTGGGAAGGCCCATGATTCAGCTCTGATGCCTCTCATAGATGCCTTCAAGCACTCTCTGCAAGAGAGAATGACAGAAATTGGGGTGAGAAATGGCTGGAAATATGATAGCTGCAAAAAGAGTTTCCTGATCCAGGAGGTACGTTCCTTCTCAATGGGAGAGGGCTGCCCCTTTGGGTGGTAGCTTTCTTCCCAGAAGGATTCCGGAGTTCGTCTCTTCTTGCTGTGCCCCTGGAGTGTCCCGGATCTGGAACTACTTGTGGGACGAGCTGTTATGGCGACAGAGCGGGTGGAGGAGTGAGGAGGAGGCCTGGAGGGTGGTCGATGCTGACGCTGTCAAGTAGACTTGTCATGGTTGTGTTCACGTGCGTTCTCAGATCAGCGCCATCCTGGGAGGCCTGGAGGGGCACGTCCTGCGGAAGAAGAGGAGGATCTATGAGTCTCTCAGCACCTCTGTCCAGAACGACCTGAAGGCCTGTTATGAAGGTGTGCGCCTCCTGGGAAACGGTCTTCTCTTCCTCTGGCTCTTCTGGTCAACTTCTTTAGCATCCTTTCCTGCAGCTTTTCCTCAAAGTATCTGTCCTCCTGCATCCCGAGTGTCCCTGTACCACTCTGGTTCTGCAAAATGGACGGCTGTTTGTTGCTACTGTTGTCAGGTGCCAGTGGTGGCTGGTGTGAGTCGGTTCTGACTCAGAGAGGCCCAATGAACACCAGAAAGAAGTGGTGCCCGCTGCCGGATCCTGTGCCAGCCTCACCCCTGTTCTTATGCCCGAGCCCATTGTCACGGCCACTGTGTTCGGAGTGGAGGGCTTTTCTTTTTTCCGCTGCCCTGTTACCTCACCCAGCATGATGCCCTTTCTCCTGACAACACGCCCAGAGTGTGGGAGACAGGTCTCGCCATCCTCGGTGTTGGGACAATGCTTAAAGAACTCTTGTTATCTCTTTTTCTGGTTCTTTCTGTCTCCCCTTATCTAGATCTGGACACCTTCTCCTCTCCATGCTGCATCGAAGCTAATTAAACGACAAAATCCAACTCTCCTTCTTTTTTCTCCCTCCTATAACTATTTGCCAGCTTCGTTCCCAGCTTCTCCTCGTTACGGCAGCCCGTTCCGAGAGGAGGGTAGTTTGTAAGCTCCGGTTCAATTCCTTCATTAGATTTATGAATGATCGTTGCTGTGGATGTGTGTATGGATACACACACACACATACAATTTCCCCTAA